GCCACATATCTACAGAGATTACTACACTAAGGATCTAGCATCTATTATTTGAACACAACAGCAAAGATAATATTCTATACTCTATACTCTATATTCTGGCAATGGGCTCGGACGCACCAGCAGAGACGGCAACGCTAACCAACTTTATCAACAACGCCGCTGTGGCCGCTGGAACCGCTGCGGAGACGCTAGCGGTGGTCAGCCCACACGACGCACAGACCATCGCGTGGGTGCCACTGTCGACTGAGGCCGAAGTCGATGCAGCAGTTGCGGCGGCAAAAGCGGCGTTTCCGGCGTGGTCGGCGCTGACGCTGAAGGCGCGCGCAGCCTATCTTCTGGCGCTGTACAATGTGCTTCAGGCGCACCGGACGGAGCTTGCCACGCTTATTGTGCGCGAGCACGGCAAGACGCAGACGGAGGCGATGGGCGATGTGCTGAAGGGCCTCGAGACGCTCGAGTACGCAGTGAGTGCGCCGGTTGTTGCGCGTGGATCGGTGGAGATAGTTAGCGGCGGAGTGCAGTGCCAGGACGAGCGTGTTGCGCTGGGCGTTGCAGCGGGCATCGTGCCATTCAACTTCCCGCTGATGGTGCCGTTCTGGACGATTCCTATTGCGCTGGCGATGGGCAACACGTATGTGCTGAAGCCGTCGGAGAAGGTGCCGCTGACAATGAGTCGTGTAGCCGAGCTCGCAGCCGATGTGCTTCCTCCAGGAGTGCTGAATATCGTGCATGGCGACCGTCGCGCTGCGCAGGCGCTGGTGCGGCACAAGGATGTCCAGGCGCTGGCGTTTGTTGGCACATCGGACGTTGCGCGCGCCATCCACCTGGAGGGCTCGAGTCTGGGCAAGCGCGTGCTGGCGCTAGGCGGCGCCAAGAACCATCTGGTTGCGCTGCCCGACTGCGACATCGAGATGACGGCGCAGGATATTGTCAATTCGTTCACCGGCTGCGCTGGCCAGCGGTGCATGGCGGCATCCGTGCTGCTTGTTGTCGGCGACCAGTCTGCGCTGCTTGATCGCGTTGTCGAAAAGGCCCAGGCGCTTCAGCCAGGCGCAGATGGCGCGCACGCCATGGGTCCTGTCATCGACGGCGCCGCAATCGCCCGGATCGAGGAGGCGATTGAGCACGCTGTCTCCGTTGACGGCGCCCAGCTGCTGCTCGATGGCCGTGCATCGGCTGCGTTTGGCGAGCGCAGACGCGACACCAGCGGCTTCTGGATTGGCCCAACTGTCATGGTGCAGCGCGCTCCGTCGGATGCCGCAATGCACTTTGAGATCTTTGGGCCTGTGCTGTCGGTGCTGCGCTGCGACACCGTTGACCAGGCGCTGGCCATCGAGAACGCCAACGACTACGGCAACGCCGCCTGTGTTTACACTGCGTCGGGTGCCGCTGCCGAGTACTGCGCCCGCAGATTCCAGGCCGCCATGGTCGGCGTCAACATTGGCGTGCCTGTGCCGCGCGAGCCATTCTCCTTCGGCGGCATCAATCGCAGCAGATTCGGGGCTGGCGATATCACCGGCGACGCCGGCGTTGAGTTCTTCTCATACAGGCGCAAGATTACCACAAAGTGGACCACGCCAAAGGTTGCGTCGTGGATGTCGTGATCTGTGGATCATGTTTGGCTGAACATGCCTGTCCTTTATAACCTCGTTTTTTCCCTTTATGTGGATGGCAGTGATTATACGCTCGACGCATATTAAATAAAATATGTGAAGCTTGAACAAAATTGCCACTACTCTCCGCCAATACCCATTAGTCAGAAATTTCCCCTTTTCTTTCTGCCCCTCTTTCTGTCTTTCTTTCCTTTCTTCTTTCTTTCTTTCTTCTTGTCTTTTGGTATTTTAATGTACACACTTTCAATTTCCTCTTATTCTTTGGTTCCGTAGACCAACCTTTCTATTACATTTGTGTTCATTTCTTTATTATCCTCCCCGCCTATTCTCGCACTGTCAATACGGGAATTTGGGAGGAGAAGCGATGCGAGCCGAAGCGACAAGTCTCCCCGCCTTGCTTCGGCGTCGGTCGGCCATGCCTCGCGCCCCGCCCGACGCCCCCGGCGCCTGCATATACCCGAACCGCACACTCTACAATATAGAAACTCCTGACTGCTACTTTCGACGATTCACGCCCGACGGAAAGTATCTCATTGGCTTTGGTCGCAACATGAACGGCCTGCATGTGTTCCATGTGCAGGGCTCCAGCGCATCCACTCGCCAGCTCATCGACGCCGGGACCACGCCAAGCAAGGGCGAGTTTCGTCATTTCTTTAGGCCTGCGTGGTCCCGCAGCTACACTGGCGTTGGCGAGGCCCTCCATCGTGACCTGTGCCTCGTCACATCCAACATGCGCCATCTTATTATTGTCAGACTACGCAGGGCCGACTTTGGCGCTATGATTGACCGCCAGCAGCACCAGCACCAGCAGCAGGCGTCGCATTTACCTAGTGCTCTTAGCAGCATCAAGGCTATGGAGGACATAACCGTGCTAGTGATCTCCCTCTCAAATGGCGACGTCGTTGATAAGCGTGAGTACTTGAGCGATATCATATATCTCAGCGGACACAACGGCATCAGTCTGTATGAAGACAAACTGTGCTTGTTGTCGTTGAAGAACCAGTGTTTGCGTATATTGCGCATCAACAGTGACGGCACGCTTATCGATGAGCGTGAGATTGGTTGGCACACACAGCCTGACGATGCGTATTACGACGATATGCTTCGTATGCGCGAGGAGGCACATCTTGCAGCGCAGCGAAAGGAGATGCTTTTACGCAAGCGTGGTCTGGCGAGCAGCGAGGGCTTTGGTGGCTGTCTTGACGATGCCGATATTCCGCTGGCAATTAAGCGTCAAAAGACGTCTGCTGGCAACCGTGCAACCGTAGCAAATCTGCAGCACCCAAACCGTCGGCCACGTATTGGTGGGTCCGAGATGGCTGGCACATACGGCGCACCAGTGCACTTTACTCCAGAGGCCTTGGATCCCGGTCCTTCACAGCCACGCTGGAGAGATCTTTTGTCTCGCACATCCTCCTCGTCTGCGAATCCTGTGCCACGGATCTTTTCCAGCGACTCTTCACAGGCCTACAACGACACCCACTGTCCAGAGATGCCCACAGATTCATTCATGTCAAGCGCCACCAGCGTCTGTTTTCCATCTGAGCGAACCGGCGAGCGCTTGCCGTTTATTTTTCCGTTTTCTTCGCAAGCGCAGGGCCTTCTTTCCGGAGGCAATGAAGCTGGCGATGCATTGGCCCCGATGCAGCCTTCGCTTTTTTCCAACGAACCGTCGATGCACCCGCTTTCTGAGAGTCTGAGCCAGTCTTTGCTGACTATGCCATCCGACAGAATGGCAGCGCTGATGCCTCTGCAGGCACTCCAGCGACTCCCTCCACACTATCGCTTGATGTTTACGCGCGCCATGCAGCCGACCAGCCACCTTGACAGTCTGGCTGACAGCGACGTTTTGCTAGTGGAGCCCTCGCTGGCCTCTGCGCCATACAACGGACTTAAGCAGCGGCTGCTCGGTGCTCTCTTTATGCGCGCCAAGAGCAAAGACGATGGAGGGTTGGCGCTAAAGTGCTTTTACCGCATCTTTCGGCAGTACGAGGCGCTGGTTCTGTGGAGAGCGCAGTTTGTAACGCGGAATAGACTTCTTTTGCGGTTTGTGCCGCTGCAGATTGCTTCCTCCCGCTCACACATGTCACGAGCATCGGTGATTAGCAGCAACACGATGGCGAATTCGTTTACAGTGCTGGCTGAGTACGACATTGTGGAGGCGCGGTTTGGCAGGATCTGGGACACTGCAGAAAGAGACCTGTATAGAGAAGTCGAGGACCGGTGGGACGTGTACCGTGCGCCCATGGCATCCAGCGGAGGGATTGGTGCGACTGCGGCAGGCGCCCATGCGCCGTCGTTGTCCAACGATCTCTATCTGCGCGATTCGTTCGAGTTCACGCAAGCGGCGCTCCGGACATCTAGATCGGGTGGCCCTGTGCAGGCCACGCGCAAGGCGTCTGCGCTGCTTCCGATTGCGCCTCAGTGCACGCAGGAGTCCCCGATCCTCAACCCATACCGCTTCAAATGCAATATGCGCATGCGCCAGATGATCGAGAGATTCCGCCCAGCCAGCATGTCGCCCATCAGATTCTACGACCGATTCACCGGCAGGCTCCGCTTTGTGTTGGCTCCGACTCCCCATCACTCGTCACCTCCGCTATCTGAAACCGATCCTTCTGTTGCTGCTGCACCTGCTCCACTTCTTCCGCTAGACGCTACAACATTAGAGGAGACGTTTAGAGGAGGAGGAGGAGGAGGGATCCTGCCGAGTGGTGCAATTCTCATGTCGTCTGGGGGGACCACCGAAGATGTGGGTGGTATTGCTGCTGGCAGTACCGGTACTAGTGCTTTGGGAGGAACCAACTCTGCTTCCACCGGTGGCAGCGGTAAGCCTGGCATTATGTACCTGCTCCACCCGTTCCTGCCGCTTGTTCTGTCTTCGCGCAGCGATAATGGCCCCAATACCCTGCCCACATCGAACATTCACTTTTGGCAGGGCTAGACCAAAATAAAGGCGGATTGGATTGAGCTGGTGGATATGTATTAATACTTTTTTCTGAAGTGTGTGTAATTAGCTAATAACTATTAGATGGCTGCCATTCTTGTGTTTCTTGTGTTGAGAGCTCTCTTTTGTTTTCTGGAGGCAGTCGTTGTTGTAATATTCAATTCCAAAATTACTGGCTATTGTTTCTGTTTGATCTGTTAACGACATTGATGATGAGGATATGCAGCGGCCGGATATATATGTTCTTGGCAACAAGGAAAGAAAAGAGTATGAAGAGTGGTGGATGGGGGCGATTGCCGGCGGTTTCCGATTATCAACATCAACAATGCCACAACATAATAGGCCAAATAAGGCAATCCATAGAAGCGCTACATGTCTAAGAATAGAACAATCAACAGGGCATAATGGGCCAAAAATGGGCTTAATCAGGCTTAATTAAGGCCGGGCTAGCTCAATCGATAGAGCGTGAGACTCTTAATCTCAAGGTTGCGGGTTCGACCCCCGCGTTCGGCTGACATACATTTTTTGCTTTCACTTTTCGTGGCTTTGAAATGTCATTTCTTTTTTTTTTTGCTTTTATTTTGATACTTTTTTATGTATTTATTTCTTTTCAGCTGTACTAATAGTGTATTTATTTTACCCTTTTCAATGGGACGCAGCAGCAAAAGAGGAGGAGGTGGCGCGTCACAAAAGACCACGCTGGGAAACTTTTTCACAATCAACAGCACAACACCAGGCAAATTAAAAACACCGCAGGAAGCAACGAAACAGCAGACGATAAATTCGTTTTTCGACAAAATGAAAGAGAAAGACCAGGCACCACCGCCAAAGGACGCTGACATTGAGGAGATTGTGATATCTGACGATGAGCTGATAGACCCGGATAGTATACTAGGCGGCGGCGGAAGTGGAGGAGAAGCAGCAAAGTATTCGCTGCGGCCATCAAGAACAACGGGACAGAGGAACGCAGACAGCAAGAGCGAGGCGAGGAGAGAGACGAGGAGCGTACCGGCATACCGCAACACGCTAAAGTCGCTTGTTCGTGCGTCGGCGCAAAAGAAGTACGATCTTGGGTTTTTGGACGCGCATGTTGAGAGCCAGCGGGCGGACATGCGGGACAGCGGCAGTGATAGCGACAGTGATAATAATGACGGCGGTGGAGATGTGTATAATGACGAGCTATTGCAGGGTAGCGGAGCCGGAGCTACAGCTACGGGCGTGCTACAGCAGATTAAGAAGACTCGGCTGGTGGGAATCGACGGCGACCCCCGACGAAGCCCGATTCGGTTCTCCGTGTTCCACCAGCAAAGGCAGGTACCTCTTCTGGACGAGGACTTCAGACTCGACAGCATCGTGTATGATATGAACAATCCAATCGACCGCATCTGCAGCGCGCACCGAGGGGACGTGAGGTTCTTTGGGCGGCTGATAGAGTCGCGGTGGATGCAGACGCTGGCGTGCCGGGGCTGGATGCTCACGCAGGGCGTTGGCGATATCCTCCTGCATACGGCGTGCTTTGGCTTAAACGAGCAGGTGGCCGACAGCGCACTGCAGTCGCTGTGTCTGTTTCTGGAGCAGCAGCGGTGCAGCTGGCAGGTAGATGTGGACACTATGTACAGGATCGTGGGCCAGATCCAGGGGAAGAGAAGGGTGCGCGTGGTGTCGTTTGAATCCGACAACGAGATGACTCTGGCGGCGGACTCTGGCGTGTATGTCGAGATCGAAAGAGAATCGCCAAGGGGCCACTTGCACCAGCCGCAGAGGCCCAGCAATGCGAGCGACAAGCCGGAGCGGGCGGTGTCGCGGCTTCTGAAGGCAGGCGCAATGGCGCTCTCGGGACAAGCAGCCACTGTGTCTTCCGAGGACACGTGTCGGCTGGTCTGCTTGTATGTCGACTGCGTGCTCGAGCACTCAAGTAGTCCGCACGTAGTGCAGATGCAGAGGAGCCTTGGGTCGGTCATCGACCGGATTGCGCCAGCCAGCAAGTGGACTGTTGTGTGGACCGAGTGCGTGGCCCGCATCGGTCGCAAACTGTCGCATCTGCCGCTCCGTGCGCTGCTCCGCGTGGTCGAGTGCATGCCCGTGTCAAGCAGGCGGTGCATGCAGGTCCGCCGCAGTCTGGCCTTCCTGTTTCTGCGTCTGCATTCGTCGGATCTGGCCATGAGTAGCGAACCCAGTGGCAGCAGCAGCAGCACCCATGTGCACAGCCGGCTTGCCAACGAGGCCATGATCCCCAGCCAGATCATGGTGCGCATTGTTGGCGAGATGGTGGTCGATTCCAGCGAAGAGCAGCTGTTTCGGATTGACGACAAATCACCCGCCGGGTTTGCCAGGATCGAGGCTGCGGTTGGCCTGCTTGGCCATGTGCTGGACAATGCGCAGGCGCTCCATGATGTGAAGGACGAGGCGAGGGAGATATACAGACGTCTGGGCCAGATCAACCGGAAGATCTCGGATGGCGTGGCTGACAGAATCGACAAGACGTTGGCGAAGGACGCGATTCAGATCCTGCTTGTTCGTCTTGCCATGACCGCTATCTCCGATTCACGCGACCGCGTCGATATGATGTACAGCGGCACCGACAGCGCTGACAGCGGCAGACGGACAGCAACGACGCTGGACAAGTATCGGGGATGACCGACCATGTCTGCTTTGAGTGATTTCGTATGGTTTTGCTGTTTTATTGGGTTCTGGTTAGGAATAAGGCAAGAGCTGCGTCTGCTAGATAGGAAAGGAAAAGATTTGGTAAACAATTACATCGGCTTTTATTCTTGAAAGGTGCGTGGCTATGCGCTGCTTGTCGAGTCAGCAGCAGCAGCAGCAGCAGCAGCAGCGCCATTGCTGTGGATGACGTCGCCGCCGCGCTTCTTCCTAAAGTCCTTGATGGCCGACTTGATAGCGTCCTCGGCAAGCATGGAGCAGTGGAGCTTGACGGGTGGCAAGCACAGCTCCTTTGCTATGTCCGTGTTCTTGATCTTAAGAGCGTCGTTGAGGCTCATTCCGCGGACGCGCTCGGTGATATATGAGGACGAAGCAATAGCCGACCCGCAGCCGAATGTCTTGAACTTGACGTCGGCAATGTTGCCAGCATCGTCCACCTTGATCTGCAGCCGCATCACGTCGCCACACGCCGGTGCGCCCACAAGTCCTGTGCCCACCGTCGGGTCGTTCTTGTCAAGCGATCCCATGTTGCGCGGATTCTCGTAGTGGTCGATGACCTTTTCGTGGTAGAATCTCTTTGCTGCAAGCGCCGATGCTGGCCCTGCTCCTGCTGCTGTCGCGCCTCGCAGCGCTGCTGTCGTCTGGCGCACCATCGACGGCGCTACAAACTGTCTGGCCAGGGAAAACATGTCTGTCTACGCTTTTGCTTTCGCTCTTTTATGCTAGCTTGTTTCTTTTGAGAGCAGCTGGTTGCAAGGAAATCCACTTTTAAGAATAATACTTGGATTCAAAGCTAAAGGAGGTGCGGAAAAATATACAGTGGCAGATTTAAAGTGGAAATAATAAAAGCATCCAGAAAGTCAGAGAAGAGAAAAAGGAGGGAAAGAAGAAAAAAGCAGATAGCCGTGCTTGATAACTAACTACAAGGCGTTTTTTCCTATCTGATGGAAAAATTTAAAGCTCCAAAAATCTTTTCCCCCCAAAATTCCCGCCAAGAGAGCTTTTGCTTCTTTTCTATTTGCTGTGAGAAAAGGCTGGTCACAAGAAGGCTGCTGCTTGGTGTGATGTATGCGTTGTTGTTCCGTCTGGCCATTGGCCGGCGGATATTCTAACAAAGGCTTTTTTCATGCTGGCAAGGCCAAAGAAAGGGATGAGATGGCCTGGTGACGTATCAACGCTGTAACTGGCTCAAGGTTTCTGGTAAATAAAAAAACAGGTTCCTCTTTTTATTCTGCTTTTTTCTCTACATGCGGCCCATGTGCGAAGCTTGTTTCTGGCGCACCAACAGCTGTAGAAATGAACAATGGTCTAGGCGCTCGAAATGCGACTTTAAGGATTATCTCCCCCGTCTTATATAACAAATGCTATCCACCCACTGGCGCATGCAACCGTGTATAAAATATACATGATGGCCATGTTTGTCCCGGACAACGGAGAAATAAAAGAGGAAATAAAGGAAAAATAAACATGGCAAAGACCAAAACAAGAGCATCCGCCATCTTATTGTTATCCTTTGTTATGGCAAGGAGATTGCGGCACCCACTCAACAACAAAACAACAACAAAACAAGAACAAGAACAAGAACAAGAACGGCAACAACAACAACAACAAAACAACAGTAAATAGCACTGTGGGACATGTGGCACCCGATTCTGCTGGTGTCTGCTGAATAAAAGTGCCACTGCTGCAGAGAGAATACTCAAGAAGAGACAAGCAAAGGAGGCGAATACCACCACAACCACAACCAAACCAGATCATCTCTGGTTTGTAGATAATGATGCGACGCAGTAGCAAGTCGGACAACGCTTGTGCATCTGGGGTGAGAGAGTGAGAGAGAGTGAGAGTGATAAAAATAAGATAGCAAAGCCAGAAAATGCGGTGGAAAACTACTGTTTGTTGCTGCGCTGGTTGGCAGTTTCTTGCATTGCTGTTTACCACTCCAGTCTGCATTTTAAAAGAGGACTGGCGGGAGGAAAGAAGACAGCCGCCTCTCCCTCTCTTTAACTCGCCTTTTTTTGTTTACTCTAGAGATAATTAGCTATTTCCTTATTTTAATTCAAGCACATTTGCTGTGCTTATTTTCTGTTCTGTTCTGTTCTATTCTGCTTCCCTATTTTCTTTCCTTCTCAAAAACAAGGCGCTGTGCCCAGAATAGCAAATGGTGTCATACACAGACTTGTTGCCAGCAAAGCAGCCGCGAGCTCCTGTTGCCGCCGACCTAAACGACCCGCAGCCACAGCAAAAGAACCCAAGCACGAAACCAAAACCCAGAAGGAGCACACGGGGCGGGCATTCATCGGGCCGCAGACGTCGCCAAAGCTCCCAAGTGAGTGCTGAGGAGTGGCAGCGCAGCTGGGACCTGCTGCATAACAAGATTCTGTATTTCAGGGGTGTTACTGAGGATGCACTGCCGGAGCTGCAGCGGCTGTTCAAGGCCTGCCGTGGCATTCGATTGAATGTGGATCCCCACGAGTCCTTGGATATTGCCGGAAACGTCGAGTTTCGAAACGTGTATGACGGTAAGTAGTCTTGGCCTTCTATGCTTTTCCTTACGCCTTCTTCTATTCGAAAACAGCGAGGTTGGCGGAAAGCGTGTCAATTGTTTGCTTGCTTGCTTGCTTGCTTGCTTGCTTGCTTGCTTGCTTGCCTGCAGACAATAGGACAAGGCGACACTTCTTTTAGCACCTTACGAGCGTGTCATCTTTTGCGGCGGTGTGCACATCATGCTATGGAAGATGCATTCTCGACATGGCGCATTTATTTCAATCAATCAATTGCTAACGACTGTTGTAACAACATGCATTCTTCTCTCACTTTCTTTATTTTGCCCCCCACACACAATGATTCGGGGA